ATTTAACTAAAATAAATAATAATACAATAAACATAAATAATGATTAAATAAATATATAATAAAAATATGTGTGCATTTTACTGGCTTCATTAATACACTGACATGAAACGATTACTTAAAAGACCCTCATAGCAATTAGTTACGATACACAATGCCAAGTATATATAGAGACCCTGAGGGTACGGTCACAACGTGGCGTTGCGCTCAAAGTACAGAATCTGAAGGTTTGGTGCACGCTATCGTACAATGCAATCTCGGTGCGCTGGTGCATTGCTATTCATTCTGAATGGCACCCCAATAAACCTCCTGGGGGGTGAGCATTGCAGCGGTGTGAAGGGGCCCTCCAGGGACATATAGCTTGCTCTCTGTATTGCCATGTTTTTAATGATGGTCAAGGTGACAACGCAGGAGAACAATTGGGAGACAGGAACAGAACGTTGTCACCCCATAACAGGCCCAGCACTGCAGATTCACCAGATATTACCATGAGGAAAGCAGGAAGGACTGCCATGGAAGGATAATATCTCATTTTAATGGAATGTATGAAAACAATGAAGTTTATAGGAGATTGTATACACTGAGTGCTATGAATATGGATGACTCCATCACACTGAGACACATCATGGCTGCACTGATCATCATTCTGTTTCCTGATCACAGGTCAGATCGTCTACAATCATCTCACACACACCACCTACAATGCAATGTCTCCTTCCAGCAACCCCCAATGTCCCGGGACCTCGGCTCCAGGGCGGAAGACGAGCTCGGTGAGGTGAAAACAAAAAAACATGTCCCCTGTCCTCTGTAGCCGCACATATGACGGAGGCCATTTTCTTGGAGACAGCGGCCGCGTTTCTTCTACCCCAGCTGGCTTCGACAAAATGGCGGCTGGGCGGCGACAGTGCAGGGAAGCGGTAGAGCTCGGTGCGGGAGGCGGTGGAGGGGCAGAATGGCGGTGCAGGCCGTACACCTGGAGGGGGATGCTTTCCTGGTGTGTGTGGCCCATTCACTGAGCACAGAGAGAGAAGAGGTGATGGGGCTCTGTATAGGAGAGGTAAGCGAGCCGGGCCTTGTCTGTGAGGGGGACAGTGAGGACCTGTTGTGGCACTGCGAGGGGGGCACTAAGGACCTGTCATGGCTCTGTGAAGGGGGCACTAAGGACCTGTCATGGCTCTGTGAGGGGGGACAGTGAGGACCTGCCATGGCTCTGTGAGGGGGGACATTGAGGACCTGTCATGAGTTCCTCATATAGGGTGAATGTCTCTATTCACACAGGTGGACGTTCAGAGGGTCGTGCACATTCACTCGGTGATCATCCTGCGACGATCCGACAAGAGGAAAGACCGGGTGGAAATCTCTCCTGAGCAGCTGTCGGCGGCCGCCGTAGAGGCCGATATATCCTTCACCAGACCAGCCGGCCTCCCGGAATTTTAGGGATAAAGCGGATCTTTTAGGCAAAAATGGGGGAAATTTCCTAAAACTGGGGCAGTCGCCCCCCGGCAACCAATCAGTTTGCTCGGTTAAGCTTTGGAAGCTGATTGGTTGCCGTGTCTTAGTAAATTCCCCCCTCCCCTCTTTGTATAATCGGGGGCAATTCCAGCTGTTGTGGAACTACAAATCCCATGAGGCATTGCAAGACTCCCAACAGAGTTCTGCTGTGCCGAGGCTGCACGAGGCTGATACCACGGCCAGTTCAGGTGCATTGTTTGCCTTGTTCTAGGTGGAGTTCGGCTTTACACGACGTGACTCTTCTGTCACATTCTGTGCATTGAAGTGCCCGGTGACGCCGGTTTTGGCGCCATTTTCTCCTTTCACCCGAGATTCACCTTAACCCTCCGCACAGACTTACAGAAATCACGGGCCGCCCCATGCGCGTGGTTGGCTGGTATCACTCCCACCCGCACATCACCGTCTGGCCGTCTCATGTTGGTAAGTTCACCATTAGAGAAGACGTTCCCGTTGCAGAGCCTTCCTTCTGAAAATGCCGGTCGCCCGGCAGTCACACACCGAACCCTTCGCTGCCAACTAGGGCGGCCTCCATGCAAATAGCAACCACTTCTGAGCTGGTGGGAGGGGCCGGCAGGGTGCTGTACAGAGCTGGTGGGAGGGGCCGGCAGGGTGCTTACAGAGCTGGTGGGAGGGGCCGGCAGGGTGCTTACAGAGCTGGTGGGAGAGAAGCTCGGGGACCCAGTGATGACATCACCAGGCCTGCAATGGGAACGGAATGGATGTGTGTAAACATTTCATTGGCATGGTGATGGGAGGAGGGTCCCGGTGGGCAAAATATGAAGAGATGAAACTTCAACTTTTAAGTTTCAGCGTGCCTCAGGATTCGGGGGGCTCTGATAGGGTCACAGAGGTATGTGCAGGCTCTTGAAGGGTACCTGCTTTTCATCTCTCGGGTCAGATGAGTGCCCGGCGTATGAATTGTGGTGCAGGATCCTGAGTCCCATGTCAAGCAGTATACGGTATCTAAACCTTCTCTCCCGCCCCCCAGATGTGCGGACCCAGGCCATGTACCAGATGATGGATATCGGATTCGTCGGGCTCATATTCTCCTGCTTCATAGAGGACAAAAACACAAAGGTCAGTCCGGCTGCTGCGTCCGTTCAGGAAATATGATTTCTGAAAGTGTATCGCACCACGTAGGGCACCACGTCCCCCATGACATGTACACCACGTAGGGCACCACGTCCCCCATGACATGTATACGTAACACGGAGGACTCTTTCAGAAGAACCATTTTAATTGATAATCAAATCAGAAAACTCGATTCCTGGCTTTCTCTCCTCCCCGATGGGCGCTGCTCCGTGTCCCAGGGGGGAGGAGAGAAAGTGTGACAGCCGGCCAAGCGCTGCGGGAGGAGACAGCAGTGATCGGCCTATCACAGTCGGCAGAGCAGCATGTGGGCGAAGACAGCACTGTCACAGGAGGCTGAGCTCTCCTCCCTGCACCGCTCGCCCCGCCTCTTGTGACAGTCTGTGTCAGAGAGGAGAGCGGATACCAGCAGTCAGTGATCAGTGATTGCTGAGTGTTTGTAGATAATTGAGGACAGAGTATATTAACTATATCCCCAATTATGAATGAATGGGAAGTGATCTACATCACCTCTACAATAATATAAAAAAAAATTAAGTTTTTATAAAAAAGAAATAAAAAAATATTTTGAAAAAATTTGGTTTCGGCCTGAAATTTTTTTTAATTTAGGGTTTCGGTTTGGAAATTTCCATTTTTGTGCACCTCCTGGTATTATGACCTGAAAGCCGATCTCCGGGCACGCGGCTGAATACACACGTGAGAGTGGTCTGAACTGCCTAAGGATGTGTATTTCAGTCCATCCAGTCCTGAGATTTAAACAGCTCTGTCACACACAGCACAGCCCTCTCTTGTCTGGCAGGACGGGGGACCTGATCTTTCTCTACTGCTGTCAAGTCACACTTCCAGGTCTTGTCCCCCAGCCTGTGGCTGCTCGCCCCATCAGCCTGTTCTTGGTTAACACATGAGCACCACAACACACCTGATTGGCTCCTGGTGCTGCTTCCCCCCTCCGTCCCCAGCCTGAGCTCTGCTGTACAAGGACGGCAAGAGACTGATACCAGGTCAGATCCAGGTACTTACAATGTATAAATCATCTCTCTTCTTCCATCAGACTCGCCGTCTATCATTTTTATTGTTCTTCATATGTTCATCCCCTTTTTTTGTTTTTTTGTTTCATTTTTTTCCCCCTTTTTTTGTTTTTGTCCTCAGACGGGACGTATTTTGTATACCTGCTTCCAGTCGGTTCAAGCACAGAAGAGCACCGAGTGAGTACTTTATATGAATAATATAGGTAATTAATCATCAATAATATTGATTGGAGATAACACATTGGGTGGGCAGTGCTGGTGTCACCGTACGTTGGGTGGGCGGTACTGGTGTCACCGTACCCTGGGTGGGCGGTGCTGGTGTCACCGTACGTTGGGTGGGCGGTGCTGGTGTCACCGTACGCTGGGTGGGCGGTGCTGGTGTCACCGTACGCTGGGTGGGCGGTGCTGGTGTCACCGTACGCAGGGTGGGCGGTGCCATCCTTCTAAGTTTATGATGTGTTCTGAAGATTTGCATTATGTCTGCACCTCTGACCGCCATCCAGTATCCGGGGTGCCTCAGATCTCATCACTCACTGCTGCTCTCTCCTTGTGCAGGGTGACTGGTCTTGTCTCCGCCCCCTCCTGTAATAAAGACCGGTCACTGCTGCTCTCTCTGCTTGTGCAGGGGAACTGGTCTTGTCTCCGCCCCCTCCTGTAATAAAGACCGGTCACTGCTGCTCTCTCTCCTTGTGCTGGGGTGCCTAAGATCTCACGTTGAGGGTTGATGTTACGGTACGCTTACGTTACGCTTACGGTACGCTTACTTCTTAATGTCTTTATTAGGTATGAACGAATCGAGATTCCACTGCATGTGGTCCCACAAGAAACAATCCGGAAGGTGTGCCTGGAGTCAGCTGTGGAACTTCCCAGAATCCTTTGCCAGGAAGAACAAGATGCCTATCGCAGAATACACAGGTATGCAAAAACAATTGTAGGTTTAATACAAGAGTCATGTGTGCTCTACTGTGCAGTTGCTGCTGCTGCTCTCTCCCTGTGCAGGGTAACTGGTCTAGTCTCCGCCCCCTCCTGTAATAAAGACCGGTCACTGTTGCTCTCTCTCCTTGTGCAGGGTGACTGGTCTTGTCTCCACCCCCTCCTGTAATAAAGACCGCTCACTGCTGCTCTCTCTCTCCTTGTGCAGGGTGACTGGTCTTGTCTCCGCCCCGTCCTGTAATAAAGACCGGTCACTGCTGCTCTCTGTCCTTGTGCAGGGTGACTGGTCTAGTCTCCGCCCCCTCCTGTAATAAAGACCGGTCACTGCTGCTCTCTGTCCTTGTGCAGGGTGACTGGTCTAGTCTCCGCCCCCTCCTGTAATAAAGACCGGTCACTGTTGCTCTCTCTCCTTGTGCAGGGTGACTGGTCTTGTCTCCGCCCCCTCCTGTAGTTCTCTGCAGCCAGCCTGTAGTGGGTGCAGTTACTAGGTAGTAAGGATTTTTTAAAGGCTAAGTAGTCCGCATTGTAGACAATGTTTTATTCTACACCCAAAACCTAAACCGCCCCCCTTTTACATGAACTTCGGGGGTTCTTCTTTCATCTCGTTCATCTACTATTCATTTCCTTCATATACTATCTGCCACTGCGGCAATACCTCCTCCTCTTCAGCGCGGTCACAGGGCTTGCATGGGGGGGGGAGGGGG